GGGATATCCACATGATGTTTCTCAGAGCTGCAGAGCAGAGCAGGCATCAGCCATGCTCACCCAGAAGGTGAGCAACTGGAAAGAGAAGGATTTTAGATGGTGACTAGGCATATGATGGTATGTATATGACACTAGAGAACTGATAAACATCCAAAGATTTAACAAATATCAGTTAATTTTCTGGAGCATGAGCAAGTGTCTCCTTCACCTGGTTTGTCTGAACAATTTCCTTTACCTTTCAGCTTTTACTGCTCATAGTAGAGCTCCTTCCCTTACAGTGAATTTGCAATATTTGGTATTTCTGGAGAAACTGTTACTGTAGCCTGTTCTTTGAGGAAGTAAAAACTTTAAAGTCAATTATTTGAAAGCTCAAAAACATTCATTTATGTCTTACTTCTAGCCATTCTCCTTATCTCACTGCTTGTTTCTCCTGACAACCCTCTTGTACTCTTGCAGTGAACACTTATTTATGCAGATAAAAATACAGTATTCATAAATTACTCCAGAACAGCCCCATTTCAGTAGTGTTTTCTGTCTAATGCAGCAAAAAGCTCTGAGATACACTCAAGACTGTCATTCATGGCAGGAGCCTGGCTTAGTATTCAGCCAGTGCACTCTAGTCACAAGGTATTTTTTCAGTCAGTGTTCTTAATCAGCCCAAAGTCTGAAACAGATTAACAGATCTAAAGTCATTAAAGACACCAGTACCAACCTTAAGAATATTTATGAATTCTTCAGATCATCTTCTTAACTCCAGATTAAATATTTGTTATTTTCAAGCCCTTTCTAAGACTATCTTCATTGTAGGAATTTGGTTGCTTTTGGTATGACCCCCATCTTCTTTTGCCATCAAAGGCAATCATGCAGAGAAATAAATATGTTCACTAATCATAGCTTGTTATTCCTTTTTATTGCTAATCAAAATTTTTACCTTTTTGAGAAGTATCGCAGTGTAGAGTCAATGAGGGATTTATACCATGTTGTCCCCATTTCAGTGTGTGCAAAAAGAATAAAGTGAACAGTGTGCAAAGACACCACGTGATGATTGATTTTGCAAAAATAATTTGGTGAATGTTTGTGGAAATGGAGTTGATCAGAAAAAATCAGTCCAATTTGCCAGGTCCTATCACTGCAGAACAGGGCTACGCTTACTGGGAAAAAATATTCACAAAATTTCTCACTACCTAAATTCTGTTTCTCACACTCACACTTAAAATAGACTTACATTGGAAGATGTCTGTGCTAGAATCAAATTACCTCTGGTTCTTTACAGAAAATACAAAAGGCCATGTAATTTTTATGTGAAATTTGTCATCTTTCAGCTGTCCTGCCCCATTGATATGACACATCAAAAATGCTCATCACTTAGGGATTTCAGTGGCAAAGCATTTTATAATTGTTAATTAATCCAAAATAAAAAGTGCATGGAGGCTGATCATTATTTCTTGCTCTGACCCCTCAAAATTTCATATTTCTCTCAATTCCTGATCAGAAAACCAGTAAACTCTGAAGTGTTTTCAAAATATAACTGGTCCTTTTTAAGATCATATAAGTCAGATTTAACACAGAGTTTTCTGTTCTGTCTTTCTGTACCTTAGAATCTTCTCACTGAACACTTTTCAAATTAGGATCCCTCTACAAAAGTTTGTTTACCTGACACAAGCACTTTTTAAGAAATGTTCTATGTGTTTGCTAAAACACCTGCGTAAAAAGGTTAGTAGGTGAGACAGACACAATGTTGTATGTATGTTAAGATATGAAAATGAAAATTCAGAAGCTGATGGGTTTTCTTTCTATAAATTACCTTGGGGTATGCTTTAATAGTACTTTTAAAATACTAGATTTTTAATGGGAAATATTACAGTAAGCTAGAAAATTTCCCTTTTTTCTTTGTGTCCATTGTTAATATGTATGACAAATTACAACCTTCTCTTTCCCCCCATCCCAGAAAAAATCCCTCTGCTTCGGAAATCCATTTATACTTCGATAGGAAGAGTAGTTTAAAGCATAGGAGAAAATGAATTAGGTGATCTGAAACATTTAGAGTAAAAAGGTATTTCCAGAGTTCACATGTGTTTTTAAAAAGTTTCTTTAGGTAATTTGGAGAAGAATAAAGATTTTGTTTTGTTTTCCTTCAGAATACAGATCATATTAATGCTGCCATTCTTTACAGACACAAATAAAAATCCATTATGTGCAAGTAAAGTAAGTGTATGATTAGAGTCAAATAGTTCACTGGTCTGAACATTAAAAATATCTACATGCATGTTAACTTGACAACTGATTGCGGTGTAACCCTGGCACACAACTCCCTCAGTTCCAGGTAGTACACAGCCATAGCTTTATCTCATTCATTCAAACTACATTATTACATTAATGCATTTCTACCATTGAGGTGAATTATTGATCCATGTAATTTCTGTCCTTTGTTACTCATTCTTAAACTAGGTCATTGAAGTGCTGTGATTACAGAATATTATTGTTCTAGACTGATCTATGGTTGCTCTTATAAATTACTGGTCTGATTTTCTGAAGCTGATTTTTTCCCCTTTTTTGGTGAATTCCATTTTCGACCTTATTTTGTTTCAAGTTATTTGGTTTATGTAATTTTGTCATCATAGCAACATCGTACGTGATTAGAGAGATGTAGTGTTTCTAAAGGACCAAGAAAAAAACACTTAAAAAAGAACCACTTTCCCTTTGATCAGCAACCCATAGAAACCTGCTGGCTTCTTTCAGACTTTATAGCTCTTTTAATTAACTTAGTACTGACTTTGCTATTACACAGAACTAAACCACTGTAAGAATGTTAAGGCGATAATAAACATCTCATTTAAATCCACTAAACAGAGAAAAAAGTAATTTACAGCAAGATCTCTGTCCTTAGTTTACCCTTTTGTGTCAAACATTTGGAGAACATCTGGGAACTGACACAGTTTTTCTTAGGACATAAAGGAGTCCCTCTGGAGGAAGCAGGCTCACTTAGTGAGTGAGATGAGAAACATCCATTCTTTGCTGCCTAAAATATGTCTAAGAAGCTGGGATCAGTATCAGCTTTCAAAATTTTCTTCATTTCCATTTCCTTCTTTCAGTGACTGCAACCCCCAGTTTTAGAATTACAGCAACCTTCTAATTTTTTAATCAATTTTTTATCTTTTTCAGCTGAAGCCTCAATACACTGATGACTTTTAATCCATGGATTTCCAAAAAGGAGGAAAATTTGACTCAAATAAATTCATTCTGACTTAAAAAATGGTATTATATCTATGGTATGGAAGAAAAAGAAATCTCATTATTTTAAGAAGTTTCATGGTTACCTTTAGGCAAGGAAGGGAGGAGTTTAGAGAGGGCTCAGGAAAAAATATTGGAAATAATCCAGAAATCGAGAAAGTCCATTTCCTACAGCAAGAGATTTAAGAAGTTCAATTTATTTATTTTTTAAATAGTACTTTGAGAGATTATTTGATCAAGTGTGGCAAGTATCTCCATGAATAAACAATTACAGGTGCTGTGGAGATTGTTCATCCACTGATGATCAGCAAGAGGCTGAAACTGATCCTGTTCCAAATGGAAAGAAAAATGGGAATTTCTGGCCAAAACTCAAATGGAGGGGATAAAATCTGGGTTGCTTGATATCCATAAATCCTGAATAGATATATTTATCAAAATTATTCTCTAACTTTGTCAGATTTTGCAGACATAATGGAGGCAAGTGGACTATTAGAAGCCTTTCATGTCCTGACAATGCCTGCTACCACAGAATTGGCCTGAACTAAATTTTTCATCTCAGATGATAATACTTAAATTTAAAATGCACATTCCAAATAAATTTGATAAGCAATGACCTTTAAAGTACATTAGATAGTTTTTCCTTTAATAACCTAATTTTGATTTTTCAGTGGCTAAGTTAAGCTTAATAGTCAATCTTTATACCCAGATTTGTAACAAGGAAGTCGTACAGGGTGTACCTAGGCCTAGCTGCGGGTCTGCACATTCAGCAGTGTCCATTCCAAATCCTGCATCCATTCATCCCAATCTGGGACCATTTCATTTCTCACCACTTCGCTTTGTCTAGCTAGTCTTGTCCTAGGAGCTTGGAAACATTCTGAATGTTCTAGCTAGCTAGGGCACAGTCATTGTAATTAGAGAGTGGAAAATTGCTCTGCAATTGCACAGGGACACTTACATGGTATCTGCTGTGAGAAGCTGAGAACTCCCTGAAAAGGATGTGTTTTCCACTGAGGGACAAGATCCTTTGGGGATTGATCCTGCTGGTTGCTGACTACAGAGACATCTCTCTGGCAGGCAACAGGCAGTGCCCCTTTGGGGAAGCAGCACGAGGGATAAGAAGGCACCTTAGGACATGGCATTTATTGCACAGCTCCTTGAAAGCCTGAAGCCCTTCAAGATTTTCAGTGAATCCTGTGAAACCTTATCTTAATTACAAGTTATATTAATCTACTCAGGAACAACAGCAGTCCTGTATGATTTGTCACTATTATCAGCTAACCAAAGCAATTTCAATATTGGACTGAATCAATCCAGAGGACTGAAAAGACTTGTAAATAGCTGTGTAAATTCCAACAATAGATAAATTAGAGGTAATTGTGAGCTGTTTCTGAATATTCTTTGAGCAGAAGAGATAGCTAAACTCATTAAGACCACAATTCCTTGCAAAACAACTTTTTCAGTCTTAGTCATGAAACACCATACACAGACAAATTGTCTGCCCTTAAACCCAGTCTCTAATGCAAGCAGTTTTTCAGGAATGGGCCAGGTTGTTTCTTTACTCTCACCCCTCTGTCACTAGCCCCAGTAGTCTCATTGCAGAAATGTTGTGCTTTTCTCTGCTGTGTTAATAGCTGTCACTGTTGCTAACCTAAACGTACTGCTGTACTTGGCACTTTCATCTCTTCCATCTTGTTTCCCAATAGCCCCAAACTGCTTGCTGAGGTGGAGAAAGAATTGCATTAATCCAAGCTCCGTGATGAGACACATACCTGGATTCTACTACTAAATTTATTTGGAGTTCTTTCTCTTGCTGCTTGCTGCTGTTTCAAGAAAGGTTGAAATTCTGATGCTGGTGGTGCTTATGGGCTGCTGTCTGAACAACATGTTTTACTGTTGTTCCTAAAAAGGAAAATAGCTCTTTTCAAAATGCAGCGTGAGTGCCATGATTATTTTACTCCAGCAGCTTCATTACATTGAAACAGTGATGAAATTATCAAAACATTGGCTCAGAGTTCTTGCTTGTATATGTTGTCTCACAAAATGTAGGAATTCAATGCACAAGAGAGTAAAAGAATGAGATTAGCTGCATGTCTTTGTGTGTCTTTAGCTATTTACAATTATGAGAAAAATAGAGGAAAAATATATTAAATTTTGTGTGCTTTGTAGGAGTTTGGTATCTCACAGGACCCCTTTTAATGTCTTCAGTTCTGTGACTTTGGACTAATACAGTGACTTTCAAATTCAAGTCCACCCTGTGGTTCCAAACTGTCATTGAATGAATTGGCAGTCTTCATCTTTTTTATTTCAATGATCATTTGATCAAAACAAACAAGTTACAAACCCAAAAGTTTTTAGCTTATATATTTGTTAGGAGGCAAAAATTTTACATATCCTACTTCTTCATTGGGAACATGATTTGTAGAAGTCTCCAGAATGCTTCATTGACTCCAATCCACTTCATAGTCCATTGGGTATGAAATAAAACCAGAAGGAAATTGGCATTTACTGTCACCTTTTCACTTCAAGGGCCTATTGTGCATCCCAAATATCTCTGAAGACACGGTAATGCATTACAAGGCCATCCATCACAAGCATGAAATCACTGATGGTGTTACACAGAAGATTTTAATACCATTGAGATTGTCTCTGAGGTATGAACTTCGAGCACTTGGTGATGAGAAAGAGCACTGGAATGACCGTGGACTTTATCCGAGGAAAACAGGAACAGAAAGGAGTGGTAGGCTGCCACTCCTGCAACTTTTGATGTTTGGTCTTGGTGGCTCAGCCATGTGGGTTCATGGGAGAAGATCCCAGAGTTGGGACTGTTTTGACATCCTAAGAATGACTGGAATATTCAGGAATATTCACTCCCTGTTCACATAGATTAAAGCAGGAGAGGAAGAAAAAGAGTTTCAGTGAGAAGATGCAACCAACAACAGGGAGGCCATTTCCTCTCCATACACCTTGTTAGTTAGAGCTTTACATCCAACTTGCTTCTGGCAACTACAAAATACATAATAAAATTAATAACAGTTCATTGCCTCCAGCTGCTCACAAGAAACAGATGCAGTTGCGGACCTATTTAGTCAGCATTTCTTCCTTCCCAGTTATACCTCATCTTGAGCAGGGAATATTTGAATAATGAATTGTGTATTTGACTATGAAGTAGGGCAGATATAAATAAAGTTATTCTCCTTAACTGCTGCATTTTACTAAGAAGCAGTTTTACAATTGCGCACAGGATTATGAGGAATGTGCAGTTTTGGCTTCATTCATTTGGGGCATTTCCTCTCAGTTGCATCCAGTGTGAGATAGATGTGCAGAGCAAGGAGAGTTCTTTGCCCTGACATGAAATGGCTGATCTTACACTCCATCTTGGGCATACTCTTGGATTTTTTCAGGTGCTTGAATCTTTCTTTTTCCTTTACAGATGAGAGACAATAGCATACCCATACCTGTGACTATTCTGCCAAGGCATCTCGAGAAATTTTTGTTTGAAATGTTGCAGATCCTCTTTTCTGAAATGTGTTGTGACCCAGGCATGTATCCACTGCAGAAAGATTTCAAGGGAAATCACATGAGTTTCTAAGACTATTAGAAACATGATTTAGCTGTCCTATATAGTTCAGGGTAAAATATTTCCCCTTGCTCAAAAGTATCTAATTCTGTCTGAAAGTAGGAGCCAGCAAAAGAGGAATTTTTCCATTTACCATTGACTTTCATATAAGGATATCCAAATCAGCTTGGTAAATGAAACCTTGGATAAAAATTTGCAAGACGTTAGAACTCCTGTATAACCCAACTGACAGAAAATTGAGGGTTATTCAGATAGTCAATTACATCTTAAATGAAAAACAAGCTGGAAGCATTCATAATTTAGAAGAAACTTGTAAGTCCCAAAAGAAAGAAAAGAGAAACTATTTTAGGTACATTTATACTTCAAATTAAACAGTCATATAATGGCTAGAGTTATGCCTGCAGCTTACATCACAAAAAAAAAATAAATTAAATAATAATAGCAAAAAATGACAGTAATACATTTAGACAGCCTTATTTAAAGAACCAGGGGACTGGAAACAAATGGTTACAGCTAGAGATATAAATAGTACAGGTAAAAGATAAAGATAATAATGAAATATGAAACACCAGGTTAGGAAGAATTATAAGTGGCAGCACCAAAGGCTTTTATTCTGCAGCCCCCCATGTCCTGACTGTCCAAAGAGGTGCCTGAGAAGGTTGGCATCATGGTGCTCTCACAAAGGAATTCCCTGAAGTTAAATAATATTAAGTGTCTGGCTCCTCCCATGCCCTGCCACTTTCTGCTATTGTTCTCCTTCAGGAAGGACCTCTTGGCTATCTTCTTTCATGGAGATTTTGGGAATTTTAATCAGATGTGATTTCTTTGAAACTGACCAAAAGGTTCAGACAATGTTTTGGAGGCAGGAGAGACACAGGCACTCAGGTAGTGATTAAGTACATCTAATTACCTTGGGAATGCAGGTAAAAAGTAATGCCCCAGTGAAGAATTTAATTTAAAAGCTGCTTTTCCTTCATATCCTCTGTGATTCTTAGAGCTTCTCAGTCTTGGTTATGAGAGGTAACCTCATCAGTGTACACAAATGCCCAGAGAGGGGATGCCAAAAGGAGGGATACAGGCTCTTCTCAGTGGTGCTGAGCAATAGGACAAGAGGCAATGGACAGAAACTGAAGTTCCACAGGAAGTGAATGGACACAGGAAGTTCCACCTGAACATGAGGAAGAACTTCTTCAATGTGTGGCTGATTGCACATGAGAACAGATTGCACAGAGAAATTGTGGAATCTCCCTCGTGGGAATCTACAAAATCAGAGGGTCGATATGCTGTCAATATGCTTTTGCTTTGTGTGATTGGTCAAAAAACTTATAAAGTAAGTTGTAACATTAAGTTCTTGGTCTGCTGCCTGGGATCTGGTGAGCTGGTGGCATCTTCCCATTGTCATAACCATGTAATGAGACTGATGCTGAAAAATAAAACAGCTCAAGGCACGTTCCACAGCAGTCCTGTCCCGTTTGTGATTTGTGCATACACCCCCGGCTGGTGATATCCCTCACTGGGAATATTCAAGAACCATCTGGACACAATCCTGTGAAATGTGCTCTGGGAAGACCCTGCTTGAGCAGGAGGTTGGACCAGGTGCCCCACTGACATCCCTTCCAGCCTGACTGGTTCTGTGATTCTGTGAGTTTTATAAACAATCCAGAGCTAGGAAAGTAAGAATTGTGAGGCTGCAGAGATTCACAGATTCATCTTACAGTGACTCTACATTTAATTCTTTCATTACCTTGCCTTTTTCTTAAGATACTCAAGCTGACTTTTGCTGAGAAAGACACTTTTTCCAAATTTGCTAACATCTGCATTTCAGGGTTGGTAACACTGCACGTTTTTGAGAATCTTGCCATTTAATGTGGCAGAGAGAATGTTTTCTACACTTGAAGAATGATTCCAAAAGTGGGGAGAGTGTGTTCAAGCCAGTGTTATCCTAGTCATAGATTTAGCACTGAGCAAGATTGAGAGATAAAATGACTTGCTAATAAAAAACAACAAATTTGCTACTATGAAATAAAGTAAAAAATATAGCAAAAAATTCATGCTTAATACAAGAAACTTTCTGTGCTACACCAATGTTCTCCTGGCTTTGCAGGTCAGCCTGCACTGGCCTCTGCATCCTGCCCTGGTCTTGGTAGGTGCTGCGAAGCTCCCAGAACCGTGTCTTTCCTGCTCCCAGCTGAGGCTCAACAGTCAGGCTAGAATGTAATTTCCCTCTGAGTTTTTATTTCTTTTCTTATGACCAGCCCATACTCCTGAGTTCATTATCCCCCTACTTGAGGGCTTTAGTTTGGATTCATATTTCCATTTTTAACTATAGGCAACAGAGATCTGGCTTTAGATATCACTGTTCTCTTTACTGTGCCCCTAGAGCAATCCACAGATCAATCTGTTTTGTCATGAGATATGAAATGTATAAGATTTATTACACTTTTTTTGCTATAGTCATGACTCTACATATGACAGTAAATCTAAAGGATGACAGATATGTTGTTTGGATGGCACAGCACTCTGATATGCTTTGTGTAATAGAATAACAGAGGTTTACCACCCTGCAGCTGAACTTGTTTCAGGTCTTTCCTTAGAATGTAAATACTCAATCTTTTAAGGGCTACAGATACTTTTCTACCATGAGCTTTAGCAGGTACAGAACTCTGATCTTCTACATAATAATATGAAGTCTGCTTGAGCATTAATTCTGCTCTTAACTGTGCTTTGAACAAGAAGTGTGGCCAGGCTGTTATTTAATTGGATTTTAGACACAGTAGATGACATTTTCTTGGAGAATTCACTAGAGTGGTTTAAATTGTAAAACCTTTGAAAAACATAGATTTTGCAAATTATATCCCTTGTACAACCATATAAGGAATATCTATAAATGCAGGTCATTGCTAAATCTCTTCAGGAAACATAAACAATGGCTACTGAGTATGTTTGGACAGGATTGGGTAGTTTGGGTGCAATGGCTTTCTGGGACAGGATATGCTGTGGCATGTCTTATTAGCTGTTGGCTCCCTTGGTTGATTACGACAGCTTTCATGTCACTGCTGAGCTCCTCTGAAGGGGAAGATTTTGGGTGCATGCATAAATATTAGGATGTCACAGTATAATTCATTTAAATAATCAGTCAGCTAGCTGATAGCTGACTGATGATATATTTGAATTAGAGGGAAGCTGATTCAGGGTAACTCCTGGCTTGTTAGCTGGAGTGCTCGCCAGTTAATGTGTCTGTGTCATATTATTGAAATGGTGTCTGCTGGACTGGGCCTCTCAAGGCATGTGGGGACTAGGAGGTTAAAGCATGTATCCCACACAGGCTTCAGTTTCAGGCAGTCTTGAGACTGATGCTCAGTTCTACCACCTCAAGTTATGTCCCTTGTCTTTAAATTATGTGAATACTTCAGTAGTTTCTTTGTAAATGACACTCTTAAATATAGTGTCCAAGATTTAGATCACTGTAGATGCTAATTACTTTGTTGCTGACCCTTAGCACCTAAATCAAAAATTACAAGACATACATGGCATCAAATTCAAGTATTCCATTGTATTGTATTCAAGTATTCCAAAGTAATGGAAAGGGTGGGCTGAAATGAGTGGACCCACAGGGATATGGAGTTACAGAATATCAAGGAGTCTACAGTGAAATACTGAGCTCTCTGAATGATGAGCAATTGTATCATTATAAACATCCACTGGCTAACACATTGGCTTGGAGAAGTGTTGCTGCATGATGAAATATGCCAGCAGATCGAAACCCTGCTGCTTGCAGGGATGTCATGCAGAGATAGATGGGACAGAACACAGCTTTCTTTGTCATGATGGAGCAGTTTCAACTGCTCTAGCAGCCTATCATTAGGCTGGTGGAAACAAAAGCCTGGGTCTTACTTACAGTGTGCTGTAAAAGCCACAGCACCAACTGGGTGCCCAGCTCCTTTGTCCCCTCCTCACAGCACCTATCCTCTACTTGATGCCTGACCCCAAGCACCTCTGAAGCAGCCCTATGAGCCAGCACAGTGGTTTGTTTGGGCTCAGGTGGAGCTAACAGACCCAAATCAGCAGTTACTTTCTAAAAATGACAATTTCAGCCCTCTTCTGAAAGAAGGCAGCCAGGTAAGCTCTGACCGTGAAATGTGCTATAGCTATGCTTAGCACGGTGCGCTACAGTGAATATTTTGATTTAGCTTTCACAGCCCTGAAAACACAGGCAGTGTCTGGCGGTGCAAGAGCCATGCAAATTTCATGAGTAGGGAAACAGCAGATTCCTGCACTTCTCACTGACACTGGCTTAGCGCAGGCTCTCGCTTGAAAAGCAGCCTCAGAGCGAGGGGTCGGAAATCCAGATGCAGCGCAAAAAAGAGGCAGCAAGACTAAGCAGACCAGAATCTGGCATTTTCTGAAGGATAGGAAATGAAAAGATCCTCTTACACCTTTTCCAGTGATATATGGCATGTAGTTACATAGAGTGCTCCGTGGTGTATCACCCCCAGTGGTTTATCTGGGCGTGCTTCAGGGGATGCTCCAGGGATGCCTGCAGGTCCCTGAGGTCGGTGCTTTGGGTCCACATGCATGAGCCCCCATCTTGTATCTAGATCTGTCTCTAAACAGCAGCAGATCTGTCTTTCTCCAGCTGATTCTGGAAGTAATGGTGGTGTGGCAGAGGGATTTACTTAGTCAAACTCATTAAAAAATAAGAGTATGTGAGAACATAGTAATACATAGTATAGCATATCTGTAAATATGGGCCATGACCAAGGAGTATATTTATGTAATTATCTTGTTGTGGTAATATTTTTTCCTTGTTTGCTGATTGGTATTTAGATTTGTGGGAAATTTGCAAGGACCTTTATCTAATTGCTCATAATACCCTTCCTGAAAAATTCAGATGATGTAAGAAAAGAGAAACTTACTATTGCCAGGGCAAAATTATTCTATCTATTTTACAGCTGAGGAGGTGAGGAGAGAATTGATCAGGCAGCCTGCTGAAGACACCAATGCTGTGTTTGTGAGCTTTTCTAACAGAGGTCTTATGAAATCCCATCTGATGCAGGCACGTCCTAGACAGTCAGAAATAATGTACAGATATATACAGCAATTCCAAATATCTCCTGGGGCAGAGTGTGCACACAGGAATAGCAACACTATGCAGCCTGTGGAGATACCAATGAGAAAACCAAATTTAGAAACAAGAGAATCCTTTGCTTTTTGTTTGGTCAGGTTTTATTTACTTTCTTATTTTTCTTAGTTTCTGTTTCCCCTGGAGTACTGTCTTTTCATCTTTTATCTTTGTAACAGAACATTTAGTTTTCAGTAGTACCCAGCATGCAGTTCCATCAATAAATATTTTTACACTTGATGACTGAAAAGTGTCCAATATCAACCTGTTGATCCTGTTTGTGCATGAAAAACATCAGAATCCTGATCTTCCAGGGCACATGTAGTTACTGTGAAAAGTAAATATGGCTCCTAATTTGGCCTTACTTTTTGCAGTGTCTATGCCCAGCCACAGTTTCTGGAAAAATATTGGTACTTACAGATTAAAACATAATGATCTCAGGGAAATTTAGACAGGAAGCTGATATAAATCTTAAAACCTTAAGCTCTGTATAGAATCAGCAGCTTTTAGCTCTACATTTCCATTGTTATGTCTGTCATAGAAATACCATTTCACATTTTTCTTCTCTTACCTCTCATTTATTTCCCAGCGTTTTTAGTGATGCAAGACTTGTTGATAGATGTGAGAGAAAAATGATATGAATACTGGTGCAGAAAGTATGGTTGTAAATGATGTTCATGCTTTCCATTAGGCTGCTTTTAGTTCTGTCAATAAGGCTCAGTAATGGAGGAAGATAGCATGCTTTCCAAAATACACAAAAAATCTGCCACAAGGTTACACCCTACTGTGCTGTTCAAGCAGCAAAGAGTATTGTCAGTAGGGACTGCTAGCTATGCAGATGGATTTAGCTCCTTAGAAGCATCAGAAATTATGTTCTGCAAAACTGTAGGACTGTGTGCTTCCTTCTATTTATGCTGTCTCCGGGGCCTTAGTGCATACTACAAAACAGTTATAATAATAAGTAACTTGAGTCCCAGTGTGCCTCATAGAGAAGCACAAGGAAGCTGGCTGTTTAAAAGCTTGTCTGGCCTTTAATTAGCTCCTGCACAGAGCCAAGCACACCCTGCACTCTGCAGGGAGGAGCAGTCCTGTATGTATTTGGACCACGTGGCTTCCCACTGGCTGTGGTCTGGGGGCTGCTTGCCGACACATCCCCCTGTACATCCTCTGTGATGTGGCTTAGCCCCCCAGGGGAACGCAGGAGGGCTGCTCTGAAGTGGGCACCAAGAGCAGCACAGCTCCCTGGGGAGTATGGCAAGGATCTTCTCCCGTCACCTCTGACTCAGCAGCTGAACCCTGGGCACATCTTTTGCTTGAGAGTTTCAGGGAATGATTTCCAAAGGTCTTTGGACTGAGAAAACCAAACACCTGCAGAGGTCTCTCTTCACTTCGTCAGAGGAGATTTATCTCCTTTCCACCAAGGCTCTTTCCTTGTGCTCTGCAAATCCTCTCCAGCAAAAGCTGATAACATGATAAAGCTTTCAGAAATTATAATTTCACAGGTTGAGGTAATTGATACGGAATCCTTACTATTCAATTTATTCTGCCATTTTTGGAGGGATGAATTCACAACATACAGCAGCAATCGTCAGGCAGCTATATCTAAACCATGTAATAGCTGGATGTTCTAATGGGAATTGACAGCTGACATGTACAAAAGTGCTACTTACCATGGCCTGAAATTGAGGGAATTATGTGACAAAATTAAATACTTGCATGCTTCCAGGCAGCAGCTCTGATTTTAGTAAGGAACAAAGAAATACAATTACTGCACAAAAATTTGCTGTCTGATAAGTTTGATCAGAGTTTTATATCTACAATATACCACCTCAAACTACGCTACCAGGTATGCACGTAAACACATTCATCTTGATGGATGTCCCAACTCACTCTACACAAGAAACAACACAATTTCCTGCAACAGCAGTATCTTTGAGGAGGAAAAAAACCCAGAACAACTACCCAGCTTTCTTAGTATTTTAACAGGCAGCCATTAAAAAATACTTCTTTGCAAAATTTAGTTAGCATGTGGCAGTCATTTGACAAGATTTTTCTTCCATCATAAAGATTTTGAAGGTAACTTTATCACCTTAATTTGGCAGCTCTGATTTTTACCTTTTTTACCCTGTAAATATTTAAGTTTGTCAAATCCTACAAAAAAAAAAAAAATCTACAGCAATCCTGTGCTGTGCTCTGCTTTTAGACAGGTGTATTTTGTAAGTAAAAATGGCAAGTTTCTCCAAAAGGGATTCCAATAGGTGGACTGTGCAGGTGAGAAAGTGGAGGAACTCAATAGGTATCAGCCTGTTTTGCTTTCCAAACTGCCAGGTTAGCAAGGATCGGGTGGTGGTGTAATGCCTTACACATACTCAAAATATCTTTCCAGCAGGGGGATGTAGAATTCCAGTTTTTCCTGTGTTTCAAGACTGGTGGGATGATAATTTTTCTATGTCACGAATACCGGAATGGATCTATTTCAACAGAAAACAAAATAAGAGCAAAAAACCCATGCAAATTTGTTTGAAGAATTCCCAAGTTTGAGCAAATGTTAAATTGTTTCTTTTTTTGTAATCTGAATAAATGATGACCAAGAAGGCATTTTAATCACTTACGAGATCACTGTCTGGGAAATGATTGGGCCAAGTATTCCTGAATCTGGTCAGAAGAAATTATGGATGAAAAGTGAGATAGCATATTGATGATTTAGAGACTATTTGGCCAATATGCAGCTTGCTTAAGACAATGTAAACTGGATCTCACATTGCTCTGGAGCATGTTTTTCCATGGTAAATAAAGTTAAAATAGGTAGTATTTAATAAAATAAATAAAAATTTGCTAGACACTCTAGAATCTTTCGGCCAACAAATAGAATTTCCCTTGCCAACATAGTTCAATGCTAGGGAAAAACCTGACCCCAGGAGCCCAGTCCAAAGGAGTTTATTTGAATTTTGACAGGTGGATTAAAAATTAGCACCTGCCACTGAAATCTTATGTGGTCATTGACAGCCTGGTCCTGTGGAGCCAGTCTGAATCCTCTCTTTCCAAGATGGAAAGGAAGTTGTAGTTATGTCATAGTAAGGGCAATCTCCTGCCACTTCCTCTGTTCTCATGAGAGAGGTGAAACCTGGCTTGATTTTTAGGGCAGTGCACCTAAATCTGATTAACTTAGTGATCAGCCAGAGCTACTCATGGCAGGTGGGAGCTAAGTCAAGTACTATCCCAAAAACTGCGAGTGCAAGTGTCTCACCTGCTGCCTTATGAAGGGCCTGAACTTCAGCTCAGGCAGCAAATGTCTGAGAATCAGAGTATATTCTGAGGTGGATGGCACCCATCAGGATCAGGATCCAACTCCTGGCCCTGTGTAGGACATCCCAAAGGTCACATCATGTGCCTGAGAGTGTTGTCCAAATGCTTCTTGAGCTCTGTCAGGCTGGTGCTGTGACCACTGCCCTGCGGAGCTTTTCCAGTGCCCACCCACCCTCTGAGTGAAAAGCTTTTTCCTGACATCCAACCTGAACCTGCCTCACCTCAGCTTCATGCTGCCTTCTGTTCACCAGCCTTCCTCTGTCCACCCCTGGCTGGTGTAAACCAACAGCATCACATTGAACCTCACAGGGTTCAAGAGGACACACCTGTGAAGCTGGCATCTATCCAGAGCAGGGTGTGCAGGTGCAGCCTTTGGAATCCTTTTTGTCTCTGCCTGAGACACAAACCTGAAAGAGAAATATATTGGGTTAATTCTTGTTGCACTCCCAGTTGCCAGACCGAATTCCTTCTTCCTCACACTCACCCTGTTTCCTTTTTCACCCAAAGATTGCTGGTGCATGAAGAGATGCCAGTTGGAATTTATACTCTTGACTGAAAGCTACTTACTGTTCTTGTTGGTGTCAATTGAAGAAGGAAAAACATTTCTTATTTAATCATAGCAAATTGCATTCAGAGATATAAAATCATTACACAAAACAAAGTGACTGGTTAATCCAATTAAGATATCTTAAACTAAAAAAACAAGCTGTTGTCAATATACCAGTGTCAATTCTCACCAGAGCTTTGAATAATCCAATAATATGGCTCTTTCAGGGGTCCAGTCCTGCTTTTATTGAAGACAATGGCAGAATTCCCAATGACACCAGGAGGAGCAGAATCCACTTAATAATCTGCAAGCTGCTGGTTCAGTAAGAGTCATAGTAATTACACATATGGCCATATAAAGAAGTTCAGCTGAAAGTAATTTTTAAAAAAAATACGGAAGAGAAATTCTGTTGTAATAGAAAATTACTGAAGACTTAGATTGAAGAGATAGAAGGTAATAGATCATTTGACTTTATAAAATGTGGACAAACTGTAAGAAACATATTAGGGATATCAAGATGGGCATAAAAAACAGGTCTGTATGAATGAAACCTTTGAAACCTTTTTTTCAGCATTAAGATAGAATTTTACAGGTTTAATTACATGCTGAGTTTTGCACTGTTGGAAGAATAATTTCAGCAGCGCTGTGAAGAGTATAAATTAGTATATTACTGACTTAATCAGATTTGTGTTCCTTGAAATAGGGAGCTGGCTTCAAAAGAAGGGGAATAAAAAGAGGGAAATGTGTGTAGATGTTACGGCTAGAAGGAACCATTTAAAATTCCTTCAGGGGAACTTCAAGTTAAATTTGGAAATAGTTTGTCTCCAGAGGTTGTGAAGTCTTTATTAGTAGCAGTCTTTGAGAGTAGGTGTTAGATAAACTTATTTTAGGAATGTCAAGAAAAAGAGCAGATCCTGACTTGGGAAGGGAAGGTAGGCTAGAGAATGTCTTGAAACCCTTCCAGGCATATTTTCTTTCATTTCTATTTTTATTTTTTCAAAGTGATGATTTCTTCTAATTTATAGGTCTCATAATTTTACTCACTGCTGCATTACAGAATGTAAAGACTCATATTCGGCATCTGGTCTGGTTTTAAGAGGGTTATAAAATAAAGATTCCCTTCATCACACTTATGACAGCAGTGTCTAATGACCAATGAAGAATGGTGCCACTGCACTAAGTGTTGTACTCAGCAAGCATTAGAGGGCCAGCTCCTCCAAAAGCCCAGGCTTTTGGGCTAAAACCCCCTTGTTCTTTTGTGCACATGGTGAATCACCCTCATGCCACATGGTCCACACGGTGTCGTTCCACTCTGTTTGGAGAGCTCTGTTGCACTTCCCATTTTCTTCCTCTGAAAGTACTCACACTGTAATAAAATCATTCTTTTGGTCAGTGATGCAGATTTGACTCTGTTCCCTGATCATTTCCCAGTAGAACTGAGATGCCTATGTTGAAAGTTTCCTTACCTCTTGTCACAGACACGTGTTATGAAAAATCCTTTCCTTAGGATTTTTTCTCCTGTGAAGCTGAGAGGCCTCAGGAACAAAATGTAAACAATGATTACCTGCTGCTGTGGAATGCAACAGGGGGATCTGTGATTGGTCTCATGTGGTTGTTTCTAATTAATGGCCAATCACAGTCCAGCTGTCTGGACTGTCACGGTCAGTCACAAGCCTTTGTTATCATTCCTTTTCTATTCTTAGCTAGCTTTCTGATGAAATCCTTTCTTCTATTCTTTTAGTATAGTTTTAATATAATATATATCATAAAATAATAAATCAAACCACCTGAAACATGGAGTCAACATTCTCATCTCTTCCCTCATCCAGGTGCCCCTGCAAACACCAGCACAACCTCTCCTCTAGATAAGATGAAAAGGGGAGGCACCTTCCAGGCATGTGAGGTCAGTGCTGTAATAATTCTCCTCCCCGACCATACTGAGTCCTAGCCTAGACCACACAACTCCCAAACATAGGAATTACAACCTGGCTGAAGGCTTTTAGATGGATTTAGTCTTTAAATTTTGTGAGTAGGATACTTTCTCCATTTTTTTCAACAGTCAGTGGTTCTTTCTTCACAGCCAATGTTTCTATTCTTAGTCTTTTACCAGCAATGTCAAGTGCGGGCCTTGTTTTTACCATATCTGTCACAAAGGTCCTACCAACACTTGCTTCTGAAGCAACTGTTTTGAATTATAATCTTTCCACTCACTGCCCTTTACCTTCACTCATGGTTGGGTCGGGTAAAATGACCCTGTAGACAGGAGCACAGACACTACCACCATGCAGTTATAAAATGCCAAGAAGAGAGTTTGATGCCAGTGGGGCCTCATACCCATGTTAATGCCAGCCATCTGCCACCATTTAGGAATTTTCCCAGACTTCAAAAAGTTGTGTTGGTCTTTTACTATTGTTTTGATATTCAGAATTTGCTTTTAAGGGCTGATCCCACTGTGGGAGGCATTTCAGTTCTAGCCAAGTACCTCTATCAAATTTGATTCTGTGCTTTAATGTTTCCTTTCAACATCCAATGTTTTGAAGTTGGATTCCCAATCTAGATTCAATTTTTTTCTGAAATTATACAATTTTCCTTTTGTGGTGTATTGTAGTGACATTCACTGCACAGACTCACAAAATTAGTCTGCCAAGAAACATGACAGAATTTATTTCATCTTATTGTTTTGTCATCTTCTTACTAGTTCTGTTTCTGTTTCTGTTTAGAGGCATGGGCTGGGGGAAAGAAAATCTGTACTAACCACTGTGAAGAAAATTAACACTAGCCCAGCTGAAACAAGCACACTAGTACACACACTGAGCAGTACAATACTCGTCAGGCACCTGACAGTTGATTCTGAATCAATCTGAAAAATTCTGGAAAAGTGCTTGGAAACCATAGCATTCACCATTAGTCATAGCAATTGTAAGAGGGAACTGTGAAACATCCTGGCCCCAAAGAAAATAAAATAAAACCCATACTGTAAGGGAGGTGATGGAGAAAAATACAGCAGATCAACTCATTTTGATCAGTACCAGCAAAACTGTATTGGGCTTCTGTTGTTACTAATGGACATCCAGTCAAAGCTCAGCAAATTTAACCTGTGTCAAGATGGTTTCACTGCTCTTAATGCCTGATCTTGCAGTAAAGGTGTTGCAGCAGTACCTATCCATGCTGAAATCACACCCTCAAGTGCACCATAGAACCTTCTAATGATGAAGATAACGAACCATTGAAATTAAGTGGCTGAAATTGTGAAACATCTTTGTTGAAGGTCTTTAAATGGAAGCAGAATAAAAAGCTATCTGGAATGATGTAGTTAGAGATGATCCTGCCTTTGGGCAAATAGACAAAGTAATTGACCTCTTGATGCTCTGGCCAGGTGCATTTTTTAACTTTATAACCTTACATTTTCACTGGATAGTAAGCCTTGCTAATCTGTTTTTCTGAGGCTCTTTTACTGCCTCAGTGCAATGTTGATGCATCAATCTTCAGAGTGACATCTGAGCACTAGTAATGCCTGCTATTGAGTTTGCCTGCAAAATTACATTCCAAAATGACATTATTCTAAGATTGCTCTGAGTGCAACGAGTCACCTCCCTTCCTGCTGCCAGGTTTTTCAGGTCTTTGAGTTTCCTTTCACCCAGAGAAAGCCTTCAAATGTGATGAACTATTTACTGTCAAGGATGGCAGCTCCATACTTTTTGACTTTAATAAGGGAAAATATATCTCTAATGTATAGAAGCTTGCAGGTTAGTTATTTTTGTGGACTAAATGTAAAGAATTCCTTGCCTTTTAAATTCCACACATCCCTCTCTCCAGTTTACCCACAAAATTTTCCTGGTGGCATAATTTGGTTTTGTACCAGGAATGGGTGTTAAAATTATCATTAGGGTATGTGTCTACCAGATTTATCTCAACCAAGTTCCAAAGCACTTGTTCAACTGGGTTTCTGATTGCTATTATTTGGTTGGTAGGCTGGAAAATGCTTCTGTAGAACAATCCAGATAGAAAAGATTCACACTTTCTTCCTAGATTCTGCTTTATTTGGGTGTAATGATCCACTCAATGACTGTGACATGACAGCAAATTCCTATGGATTTCCTTGAAGAGAGGGAAAAGTCTAAGAATATTTTGTTATGATGTCTTTGAAGCGAGTTTCAATGAGTTTATTTATGTAAATAAACAGGGTTTAACTGCATGGCTTCCTGTTCTAGATAAGACCCAGGACCCTCCAAGGCATTTTTTTTTGAGAGAATGTATATCTTCTGTTTAGCCAAACAAGTATGAACTTACCTTCATTATATTTCCTTATTACACAATCTATTGATTATATGAAATGATTTAGATGTAGCCTCTGAACAGAGAGAATATATTCCTATCTGATATTTAGTCTTTTCTTGGGTTTTTAAAAACCTGTTAATATACAGATTAAAAATTTAGTTAATATTGTATTTAAGACATAACACTCCTTTGTTGTTTAACCTGTCATTATGTCTGATTATTCTACTACATTATGAGCTTATTCAGAGTAGAAGAGAAAAACATCTTGTCTTCCTGACAAGGCAAAGCAGCAGAAGAAAATGGTAGCACAAAGAGATAGTGGGTCCCATTCTGCCCCATTAGATTGTATTTGCACCATTGTTTTTCCAGGCATTTTAATGAAGTTATTCTGAATTTACATCTGTGTCACCATGGACAGGATTTGGCCCACTCTGCGTAAAGGCTACATCCAGTTGTTATGGCAACAAGATTTCTAAAAACTGGGAGAGAAGAATACCAGGTTGTTGTGATAAATGATGCATTAAAAGTGACTGCTTTCTTGTGGATTGATTGTTTTAATTGATGCTTTTTTTTGTGTAGAATCCATCTTTATTGATGGATGCAATTAGTCAAGATGCTGTTATAACAACTTTATCATTCCAATGACCAGATATTACACAGAAGATGACCGGGTTAGGTTTTATAGCAAGATGAGAGATTGGTTAGCTTAAATTTATATGACAAACTTATGTTCTGTGCAATCCAACTGATGTCTGCAACAGCTGTCACACAGCAGCAGGAAGCAACCTAAAGCTAATGTTATCACACTGACAAGAAAGAAACTACATTTTTAACATCTGAAGCATTCTATATTCTGAAATGGGCTTGTGGGAGGAAAAAGCCCCAGTTTCTGTGAGTTCCTTTACTTGTTTCTTTCAGAAGCCTTGCCTGGAGATGTAACGTGTATAATGCTGCCTGATTAATTTCTCTCTGGTCTGTGCTGAGTTGAGGTTTGAAGACC